CTTGCGGCGAAGGTGGTGATGACTCGGAACGACGGTAGCAAGTCTGACTCGGACACGTCGGGGTACGTGCTGCCCGAGGGGGAAGTGAAGCCGACTGGGCACAGCGTGCACTGGTCCTCCTTCGTCAGGTTCGTCGCGGCGGAGGGGGAGGGCACCCGCGCAACGCCTCGAGCAGCATGCAGTCCTGCGTGGCTCCGCAGCCAAAGATGTGCGCCGTGTTTGCGACGGCGTTGAGGCGGACGACGATGCGCGCGAGCGTCTCGTCGCAAGACGAGGCGAGCGTCTTGCACTGCATCACGATGTTGCAAAAGTGCGTGTGCTGCCCGAGCGAAGCGAGGATGACGCGCTGCTCGCACAACCGGCAGACGCCGCTCGCCGGCTCGTGCGGCGTGCCGTCGGCGGCGTGGACGGCGACGGCGGTGGTCTGCGCCGCGGCCGAGAAGCCGCCGTACAGCTCCTGCAGCTGCAGCGCCTGCAGCGCCTGCCTCGTCGCCCGCAGCGTCGCCTCAAAGTCGCGCGCCTCCTTTGCGGCCGCCGCCGCGAGCTGCGAGGAGCCGGCGTGGGCGGCGGCGTGGGCGGCGGTGCCGGCGACGGGGTGCTGCACGCCGATCCAGAAGAGGACGCCGCCGCCGGCGGCGTTGAGCTGGCGGCGCGCGCGGATCGGCGTCATGAAGAGCAGGTTGCCGAAGCGCGACCCGTCCTTGCGGAAGTTTGAGACGAGCGTGAGCGACTCTTGCTGCGCGTCGAGCGCGCGCGACATGTGCTGCTGCGCGGCGCGCTGCGAGGCGCGCTCCGCCTCGGCGGCGGCGGAGTCGAACTCGGCGGGCGGCGGCGGCTCGGCGGGCGGCTCGAGGAACTCGGACGACTGCAGGAAGCGGCAGTTGACGTGGAGCACCTCGTGGGGCGAGCAGCCGCACATGACGCCAAAGCCCGACGACGCAAAGACGATCGGGTTGCGCAAGTTGGGGTCGGCGACGGTGGCGGAGGGGTCGGTGACGAGGAGGTTGAGGAGGGAGAGGCGGAGGAACGTGTACAGGTCGCACTCTTGCAGCGCGGCGTGCTGGTCGACGTGCCGCTGCAGCATCGGCAGCGACGAGTGGACGTCGAGGATGGCAACCGCGACCGACCCAACGCGGGGACCGGCGTGGTGGTGGAGGGGGAGGACGTAGACGAGGCAAAAGACGGGGGCGCCCGAGGCGGAGGAGAGCACCGTCTCGATCAGCTTGTTGTGCCGGTGCCGGATCGCCGCGTCCAGCTCCCCCACCTGGTCGAGAATCGCGGGCGGCGCCTCGCCGCGCGCGCGAAACAGGTCGACGCTCCGGCCGAGCAGCTCCGCCTCCGAGTAGCCGAGCAGCCGCTCGAGGCCGTCGCTGGCGTGCCACACCTCGTACGCGCCGGGGTCGCCCCCGCCCGCCGCGTCGTCCGACGACCCCGCGCCCGAGGGCGAGCGCCGGCGGGCGCTCGCGGGCTGCGTGATGAGGACGTTGGCAAACATCTCCTTTTGGAGGACGGCCGAGTAGAGGGCGGACCAGGCGAAGCGCTGGGTCGCGCTGGAGCAGGCGTCGATCCCCGGGCAGGGCAGCCCGCGCAGCAGCCGCCCCGCCTGCGCCGACACGTTGCGCACCCCCTCGATGGTCCCGGCAGACGGCCCCCCCTCTTCGTCGACAAACATGCACGACGACGCCTCGAGTGCCTCGATCGCCATCGCCTCGTCCTGCCCCTCGCCGGAGCCGTCCGAGTCGGACGCGCTCGACGCCTCGAAGGAGAGAAGCAGCCGCTCTACCCGCCCGTCCTGCGCCGAGTAGAGCGGCGAGACGCGAACGTTCGCCGAGTGCACCGCGCCGTCGGCGCCGAGCAGCTGAACCTCCGCCGAGCGCCCGTGGTCGTCGGCCGAGTCGAGGTCCGCCTCCCCCGCCGCCGAGACGGACGCGTCCGAATCGCCGCCGCGCAGAGCCACCGCGAGCAGCCCGTGCACAGCCTCGGGGTTGGCAAGGTGGTCGTCGAGCGGGGTGCCGGTGACGCTCTGGGTGGCGCGACCAAGCAGCGAGAGGAGGCGCGCGCCGGCGCCGAGGACGCGGCCGGCCGTGTCAACCGTGAGCTCCATCTAGCTTGGTGCGCCCGGGCGGGGCGCGGCGCAGAGCTTCTCGCTCGCTCTCAGGGTTCGTCTGTGTCTCGCTCGGCTGAAGAGTTGCGAAGCAATCCTCATCTTCGCGAGATTTGCGTTTCTTTTCACACTTTTCCTGCGCCTCCCCTGCCTCGGATGCCGGGGTGTCCATCGGCACTGCTGCTGGTGGAGGTTTATCTCGCCTTTCCTCGCACTCCTCGGCTTCGCACCCACCGACCGACCGCAAAGAGGAGCAGGGCTGGAGCGGCCGCACACTGTTCGGTCGGTACACCCCCTGCATGGATGGAGCATGCACACTGACACCCCCGGTCTCGGGCACCGTACCCATACTACTCAAAAGTACAATGTACTACCACAAAGGCACCACTAGCGATTTCGCGCGGAGGGCGTAGTGAAGTGCTGGGGCGCTCACTGCGTGTTATTCGGGTGGGGATCCATCAGTGGTAACCGGCTTTAGTCACAGGTCCAAGCTCAGACCGGTCAGACGCCACACCAACACCACAAACACGCTCACTTCGCCGCTGCTGTAGATGGGCCGCCGGGGGCCCATACTACGTCGAAGTACGGACGCCGATCTCGGCACTCACGGGCTGTACGCGCCCGCGCGCGGCGCGGGCCGCACCGCCCATGCCCCCGGGTCACCGACCCCGCCTCTCGGCCCTCTCGGCCCTCAGGAGCGTGCGGGAGACCGGCGAGGGGCGCGCCGCGCGCCGCCTGCAGAGCCGCCAGAGGCATTGCCGCCTCCGCTGGCGGGGTTCCCGCGCGCCCGCCCGCGCCCGCGCCCGCCCACGCTGCGCCCGCGGGCTCCGGATGCGCCGCCCTCCTTCTCCTTCTTCTCGATGGCAGTCCGCGTGTGCTTGTCGACGGGTCGGCGGCGTGGTCGAGGGGAAGGTCGCCGGCGGCCGCAACTCCGCCGCCGCCGTCGCTCCGCCGGCTCTGAGACTCTTTCGCCGCGCGCTGTGTGGCCGTGGTGTGGGGGTACGTGGCGCAGCTCGGAGTGCGGCCAGGTCGCTGTCTCGACTCTCTTTCGCCGCGCGCTGTGTGGCCGACCGCCGCGCTTTGTGGCCGGCGCTGCGGCGGAGAGGCCTCGGCTGCCTCGAGGAGCGGTCGTCTTGCCGCGAGGGGCCTCGGCCATCAGCACCGGGCACTTGGCGTCGGGCCGTCGGCCACCAGGTTGAGCATCGACGACTTGCCGCTGCTCTGCTCGCCGAGGATCACGATCTCGGGCACACTGGGTGCTGGTGCTGCGCTGCTGCCTTGGATGCCGGTGTTTTGCTGCACAGGGGGGTAGTGCGGTAAGCTAGGGTGAGGGGCAGGCAAGCAATGGCAGGCCAGCAGCGCCGGACGCACCGTGCCGAAGCAACGTCGAGATCCGGTTGTGGGCCTGCATCAGCATGTTGCACTTCTCGTCCTCGGCCGGCGCCCGCGCCCCGATGCCAGCGGCTACCGACGGCGGTTCGCCGTTGTCGGTTGGGGCTCCATCGTTCGCCATGGATGCCCGCCGAGGCATCCCAACCAACCGTCAAATGTGCGGTTGTGTGTGTGTGTGTGTGTGTGTGTGTGTGTGTGTGTGTGTGTGTGTGTGTGTGTGTGTGTGTGTGTGTGTGTGTGTGTGTGTGCGTGCGTGAGTGCGTGCTTGCGTGCGTGTGCGTGTGCGGGCGCTGTGCGAGCCGCCCTGAACGACCTGGTGAGCGCGGGGGCACCTGATTTTTTTCTTTTTTTCAGTCCCGCCCGTTTTCCGCCACTCATGCGCCGCTCTCTCCTTCGCCCGCCGCTCCACCCCAACGCCGCGCCGCCGCGCCGCCCGCCGCTCCAGCCCGACGCCGCGCCGCACCGGCCTCCGCTCCAGCAGCCCAAGCGGCCCGCCGCCTGCGGCGCGGCGGCCGCCGCCTGCGGCGCGGCGGCCGCCGCCTCCGCTGAGGGCTCGCCCGGCCGGCGTGCGTTCGAGGCCATCTACTCCAACCCGCGGAAGAAGAGGGACCCGTCTCAGGACGGCTTCGTGCTCCTCGCTCCCGGCGGGCGCGTCAGCCTCCACGACGAGGCCGGCAAGCAGCTCGCCTCACGGGCGTGGCGGGGCGAGGACGCGGCGCTCGAGAGCGGCGGCGAGATGGCGCTGGGCGGCCTGAGCTGCGAGCTTGGCGTGGGCGTCCTCGTGTCGGCCTTCGACTCGGGCGCCCTCTTTGGCAGCGGCGCGGCGACGCCCTCCGCGCCCGCGCCCGCGCCGCCGCCGCCGCCGCGGCCAGCCGCCGCGGCCGGCCCCTCCTCCTCCTCCGGCGCGCGGTGCACGCCCGGGCTGGCGCGTCCGCCGCCCTTTTCGCGGCGGGACCCCTCGCGCGCCCCGGTCGCGGTGGTGGAGGCGGCCTGCGCTCCGGCGGAGGCTCTCCTCCTCAACCTGGGCGAGAGGGACGCTTCGCCGGTGGCGGTCGAGCCGCACCTTGCTCGCCGCCTCCGCCCGCACCAGCGCGAGGGCGTGCAGTTCATGTACGACTGCTGCCTCGGCCGCCGGCGCAGCGCCGACGGGCGGCCGCTCTCCGGGGGCATCCTCGCGCACTCGATGGGGCTCGGCAAGACGCTGCAGGCGCTCTCGCTCGTGCACACCCTCCTCAAGAGCGGCCCGCGCGCCTTAGAAGCTGACCATGCATTCCAACTAGCGCTCGAGAGCACACGTGCTCCAGCTGTATTCCGCCGCATGCCGCGGCGTTCACTGTACTCGTAGCCCGTGTACTCACGCGGTGCCCTGTCTGTCTACACGCGACGCGTTCTTACCGCCCTGACCTCGCTGTCTTGTCATGACCGTGTCCTCTCATGACGCAGGCCCCCGTGGCGTGCCCTCCATCAGCAAGGCGGTCATCGTGTGCCCCGCGAGCCTCGTCGACAACTGGGCCGCCGAGTGCGGCAAGTGGCTCGGCCCGACGCGGCTCAGGCCGACGGTGCTGCCGCAGGGCAAGGCGGCGGCGGCGCTCGCCGCGCGCGAGTTTGCAGTCTGCCGGCCGCAAGTGCTGCTCGTCGTCGGGTACGAGACGCTGCGGTCGCACGCCGACGCCCTCGCCGAGGCGCACGTCGGGCTCGGGTGATCTCGGGTGATCTCGCGTGAGCTCGGGTGATCTCGCGTGAGCTCGGGCAATCTCCCCGCTCCGCAGGCGCAGATCGGGCTGATGGTCTGCGATGAGGGTCACCGCCTCAAGAGCTCGGCTGGCAACCAGACGATCGACGCGCTCTGCAAGGTGGGCGGCGGCGCGTGCAAGCGGCTCGTCCTGACCGGCACGCCGATGCAAAACGACCTGACCGAGTTCTGGGCGATGGCCGAGTTTGCCTCGCCCGGCGCGCTGCCGCCGCTGGCCGAGTTCCGCGCGACTCTGGCGCAGCCGATCGAGGAGGCGCAGCGCGCCGGCGCCAGCGAAGAGCAGGCGAGCGTCGCGGGCTGCGTCTCCCCGCACCCGCGTGGCCTCTCCCCAGCGGCCTCTCCCGTGACGCGCCCGCGGCGCGGCGGTCAGGTGAGCCTCGCCGCCGAGCGGCAGCAGGAGCTGCTCGAGCGGAGCGCGGCCTTCATGCAGGTGCGCGGGCGCGACGTGCTCGACAAGCTCCTCCCCGCGCGCCGAGAGCTCGTCGTGTGTTGCGCCCTGAGCGAGGCGCAGCGGGCGAGCTACACCGCGGCGCTGGCCCTCCTCCGCGAATTGCAGGAGTCGGGCGGCGGCGGCGGCGGGCCCGAGCACTTGTCGGCCATCATGCGCCTCCGCAGCATCTGCAGCAGCGGCCGCGCCACGCCTCGCGACGAGGACGGCGCGGCGTGCGACGGGTCGCCAACCTCGGCCGCGCAAACCTCGGCCGCGGCGGGCGAGGTTGGCAAGGCGGCCGCCCTCCTCGGCCTGATGCCGGCCGTCGCCGCCGCCGGAGACCGCGTGGTCGTGTGCTGCCAGTTCCAGTCCTCGCTCGACCTCATCGAGGCCGGGCTGTCGAGGCTCGGCCTCGGCTCCGTCCGCATCGACGGCAAGGTGCCAAAGGAGAAGCGGCAGGAGCTCGTCAACCGGTTCAACGCGCCGCACTCCCGCGAGACAGCCTTCCTCCTCTCGACCAAGGCGGGCGGCACCGGCTTCAACCTCACCTCGGCCAACCGGCTCGTCCTCTTCGACCCGGACTGGAACCCCGCGACGGACAAGCAGGCGGCCGGACGCGTCTTCCGCGACGGCCAGACGCGCGACGTGACCATCTGGCGGCTGCTCTCCGCGGGCACGCTCGAGGAGAAGATGTTCCAGCGCCAGGTCTTCAAGGGGGACTTGGCCGACGCGAGCGTCGGCGGCGGCGGCGGCGGCGGACGCGGCGGAGGAGCGGAGAACAGGTTCTCGCGCGACGAGCTGCGGGCTCTCTTTGAGTACGACCCGGCGGAGCGCTGCGAGACCCTCCGCCTCCTCCTGCGAGCGGCGGGCTGCGAGGCGGAGGCGGAGGGCCGCGCCGCGCCCGAGAGCTGGCTGCGCGAGGCCACTCCTGCCCGCTCCCCGCCCGCGCCCCGTCGCCCGACACTCTTAACCCCCCCCACCCCACCCCACCCCCTGCAGATGGCGGCCGCCGACCCTGTGCTGTGCGACGCCCTGCGCGGCGACCCCGCGCTCTGCGGCCGCGTCACCTTCGCCACCGACGTCACGCTCCTCCTCGGACTCCGCGCAAAGGCCTCCCCGCCCGAAGGAGAGGCGCCACGCCGCGAGCGCGCTGAGGGCGGCGGCGCCGCCTCTGACTCGCCCCACGACGACGAGGACGCAGCGCCCGCCGCCCCTGCGGCCGCTGCTGCCCCGTCCGCCGCCAGCATCATGATGCCCAGTCGCCCGCCGGCCCGGCCAGCGTGGCCACCCGCCGCCCCGTCGCGCGCTCGTCCGGCAAGCGGCTCCGTCTCGTGGCCGACCGAGGCCGAGGTGGCGCGCCGCTTCGCCGCTGTGGCAGAGGAAGAGGAGGCCCATCCGGCCGCCACAGGAGGAGGAGGCGGCAAGCGGCTTCTGTGTGACGTGGACCAGAGCGAGGAGGCGGAGCTGCGCCGGCTCGAGTCCGGGCGGCTCGCCCCGCCGCCGCAAGAGCGGAAGCGGCGCCGCGCGATCGCTTGCAGCAGCGACGAGAGCGACTGATCGGCTGCGCCGAGCACTGCTACGGCGCGGAGCACGCCACACTGCTACGCCCCGTGCGCACGAGGTGCATCTACCTGCAACTTGGGTGTGACTGTGTGCTGCAGTGTGGGTGTACATGGGCGCGCGCGGCCGGGGTCGGTGGCATCGCGTTTCTCGGCCACTTTGATCCGCACCAGCAGCCCTATTGGCGTCTTTTTTCTTGCATGGTTACGTGTGGTCGCGAGAGCAAAACAACACGCACGTCGAATCGCTCATGTGCGCACAGCCATTGTAGGGGACTTGGTTTTATAGAGGCTGGTGGGGCGTCGACACGGTCGAGAGCCGACGGGAACCACGAGCGACAGGCGGACCGAGAGCGTACACACCTTTCTTTTTCACTTATTTGACGGCGGTCCTCGGCTCGCGGACCGCCTCGGTCGGCGGCTGTGCGGGCGGCTTGAACTCGTCCACCCGGACGGCGCAGAGTGCCGACTTGAACCGACTCCCGTCTTGGTCGTTGCTCTTGTCCAGCTTCTGCGAGTACAGCACATAGACGACGCTCTTGCCCTCGCGATCGATGATCCGCCGTACCTTGAGCGACTTGAAGAGCAGGGATCGCGCCTCGGAGAACACCTCCTCGCCTTCGACGGTGGTGACGGCCTCAGGCCCCACGACCACCCTTCCGCGGGCGCTGCACGTCAGGCCCGCAAGAGTAGGGTCGGTGAACACGTCGCCAGCCACGATCTTTTCGGTCAGCGGCTTTTGGAAGTCGGAGAGGTAGAGCTGAACGCCGTCTACCTTTGGGTCATTGAAGGACTCGATGCGCAGCGTGTCCTTCAGAAAGAAGCCGCTGCCCGACATCTCGCCCACAATGCGCTGCCCGTCGTTGATGTCTGCATAAGCCGGCGCCATACTCAGCGGCGTGCAGGCCAGAACGGCGGCGCAGGCGAGCGAAGCGGGTAGCGCCGGGAGTCGCGGCGGTGGCAACCTCATCTCTCGCAAGCCGGCGGACAGCGACACCGCGCACGAATAATTCTTTTTATCAAGGAAGAAAGCAGCGCGAGAGATTTTTTCGGAAATTAGTTCACCTCCGGGTACATCGGAAAAGAACCCACGCCGTTGCAAGTGGCCATTGCCGCTTTGTTCTGCCGGCCAAGCAACCACAACCGCCCGATGCTCGCGAGGAACGCGCCCAGCAAACAGCGCGACACGCCCGCCGAGTCCGAAGCCGAAGACGCGCTGTTCGGTGGCTCGTCGCTCCCTCTCGGCGAACAGCTCCCTGGCGACGCGGACGCAGGCGGTTCGGAAGAGGCGGAAGAGGCGGCGGCGGAGGCGGCGGCGGCGGGAGAGGCGGGAGAGGCGGGAGAGGAGGAGGCGGAGGAGGAGGAGGAGGCGGCGGCAGGGGAGGAGGCGGCGGCGGCGGAGTCGCAGCCGTCCGCGACGCTCAAGCCACACAAGCTCAAGGTCCCGGACGCGACAATCGTCAAGGTGCTCGAGCTCACGCGGCAGAAGAAGTCCCCCGCTCGCATCAACACCCTCCTCGAGCGGCTCGGGTGCCGCAACTCCAAGGGCGCGTGGTCGGAGAAGGGCGGCAAGGACCTCATGGTGATCGGCCGCATCCTCGAAAGCCAGGGCGTCGCGCAGGGTGACGGCACAGGCGACTCGGAGGACGAGGAGGACGAGACCGAGATGGAGCTCTCCGCCCGCCTCTCCAAGTCGGAGCTGCAGCGGCGGTGCGACGAGGCGGGCGTCGGCCGGTCGGGCACGCGTGCGCAGATGGTCAAGCGCCTGGAGGAGGCGGAGGGCGAGGAGGAGGACGAGGAGGAGGGCGAGGGCGAGGAGGAGGGCGAGGGCGAGGGCGAGGAGGAGGACGAGGACGAGGGCGAGGAGGAGGAGGATACCGAGCTCGCAGAGCAGCGGATCGAGGCGATGCACAAGGAGGGGGGCACGCAAGCGGTGGCGGCGCTGCTCCAGGAGCAGGGCGACAAGGCGCCGTCCAAGTCAAGCAAGGGCAAGGCTCACGCGAGTGGGACACGCGGCTGCCAGGCGGAGGCGCGCGACGGAAAGGGGGCGGGCCAGCGGCGTCGGTCCGCCGAGAACGCGAGCCCACAGCGCGTCCTCCGCTCCGCCTCGAAGCCCGTCGACCTGGACAACGACGAGAGCGACGGGGATGGCGGCGGCGGCGAGGATCCGGCGTCAGCACGCGCGGTGCGTGCGACCCGCGCACGGCGCTCCCAAACACGCCGTTGCGACGCCGCCGTAGGCTCCGAAGAAGGGCGGGGCCAAGAAGCGCCCGGCGAAGAGCAAGGCACCCAAGGCGCCGCCGCCGGAGAGAGGATGCCCCGTGCCGCGCACCGCGCACCGCGACACGGGGCGCTTGGCTGTTTGCGCATAGGCGCCGCCCAAGAAGCCGCGCGCGGCAGCGACCCGCAAGGCTCCCATCGACGTCGTCTACCTCGAGCACCCGAAGATCGCAGGGTGTTTCGCCGCAGTCGTTGCGAAGGGTGTGAGCTTCGAGGCGATCCAGCAGGAGTTCAAAAGCTCACTCGAGCTGAGCGTGGACAAGGTCCAATACCACGTCAACGGCACGCGCCACGTCGCGTCCGACTCCGCCGGCCTCGAGCTGATCTTTGCCGCTGCGGCCAAGGAGGGCAAGACGTCCTGCACGCTGCGCCCATTCGATGTCGCGGCGACGCTCAAGCAGAGCGGGGCGGACGAGGGCAGTGTGCGTCCGCCGTTCACCGAGGCCTCCCCGCGGCCGCTCGGCGGTGGCGTCGCCTCGTCCTCGGCTCTCGTGCTGCATGAGCCGGAGGGCACCCCCGCGTGGCTCGGCGCGGCCGAAGGCGAGCTGGCTCGCGTTCCATACGGCGAGCGCCAAGCCACGAGCCGCACACACCCGGCTGCACATACCGTTTTGCCTCAAGGCCTCGCGCCGGTCTTCCCTCTAGGCGACCCGAGCGCGAGCTGTGGGCGCATCGCCGCCGATCCGCCCGCCGCCGAGCCGATCGACTGATTGGCTGAGCGCCGCGGCGGCGTTGGGGCGGAGAGGGAAGGGGCAGACCGCCAGGGGACATCTCTGTTTGCGCATCCCCCGTACCAGGCATGTTGAGAGTCGAGAATGCAGCCGGCGCGTCGAGGACCGCTGCGAGGAGCCTTTCGCTTTTGCGGCCCTCGCGCAAGTTTGTGGGGCAATCGGCAGGGTCAGGCGGCAACAGCCAACACTTGCCGCCGTGTGCGGAGGCGAATGAATGGAGTTGAGTACAGTCGCACCGCGGCGGTGGTTGAGAGCGGGTTACGTTGTGTTTGAAAGCGTGCTGTCATTACGAGAGGGCCCACACGCTCCACAGCGATCAGCGTCCTAATCTAAAATCTGAGGGGATTAAGGATTCAGACTTCGCGCTTTAGTGAGGCCAAAGTGAGTTTATGCATTATGATATGATTATGGATGGGTGGCGCGCTGGTGTGCGGCTCTCGCCAGCGATCGCCCCCCAACCCATCCTCCATCCACACACCCTTTTTACTTTGAGAGGCTGTCGCTCTCCGCGCGAGAAACACATGAGAGACAGAAAGCTCGGATAAGTGCTTAGTGGACGCGTCCAGGTGGGGGGGGGGGGGGGGGCTCTTTAGACACCGCTTACCTAGATGTCACTTTGTCACACGTACAAGCTCTGATCCACCACGTGCGGGCGGCGCCGATCAACGGGAACGGCCGCCTCGCCATGATGGTTGATGCACCCTGGCATTGGGGCGTGCGTCATCTCCAGCCAGGCTATGCCTCTCTCGAACGACCTGCGGAGACGCGCTTCAGGCAGCTTTTGGGAGAGGGATCGCGCGCGAACGAGACCGCGCTGCAGCAGCGAGCCGCGCCCGTCCTCCGCGTTTGCAGGCAGAAGGGAGAAGGCCCTGGACGTCGACAGTGACTCCCGTCCAGGCCGGGTTTTGCTCGAAGGCCTGAAAGGCGGCGTTGCGCACTGTCCACTCAGCGAGAAAGTTGCGAGCGGAGCCATACTCGCCTCTGCCTCTGAAAAAGAAGAAAAGTGGCCGGCCGCGCCGCGTTCTGCTTCCTCTTCCTGTTGGTCCTCATCTACAAGTGTTTTTTGTGATGAAGCCTGCGCTCCCGAGGCCCACGACGAGGTACATTGCCGCCAAGAGGGCGGAGTGCAAGAAGGCCTCGCCGTGCGATAACGACGAGGCCAAGGCCAAGGAGGAGATGCGCGAGCAGGCGCCGTTCTGGATGAGCCAAGCGACGCTCTCCTACTACGTGCCAAGCACTTGCGAGGAAATCGACTTGAAGGATGGCATCACGCAGGCTGCCAAGGAGTACAACGGCGTCGTCTTCGATGCGTCGCCTCTCATGTATGTCAACATGATGAACCGCGGCGACCCGGCTTTTGGCGCTGACCCGATGCCCGAAACCTTCCCGGGCAAGTACTTGGCCATGGGCTCCTTTTTCAACAACTCGCACAACAAGCCCGACCCCAACGCCACTGAATCGTTGAGCCCCAATTTGATGGGCCGCTACTTCCTCGTCAGGGTCGAGAAAGATTACTCGATCCCAAATCCGGAGAGCTGCGTTAGCCCCCCCGACATCATGGGCGCCACGCTTTTCGCCCCAGCTGGGTCCTTCATCCTGGCCTTCTCTGGCACCGTGGGGTCGATAAACCAGGCTGCGCAGGACGGGGCATTTGGCTTTCCGAAGACCGGCTATCTGAACGAGTACCAGACCTACGAGAAGATGCTCGAGGTGAGTGCAAAGCCCTCACAACAAGACTCTCCTAGCCCCTGCTGAGCGGAGCCCTCGCCATCAGGCGCACAACAAGATGTTTGACGGCACCGACGACGGCACCGACGACAAATGCGCCGCCGAGATCAATAAAATGATGGGCGTTACTGAGGTGTGCGTGATGTGGCTGCCTCTGGCTCTCCTGCTGCCTCCTCATCCTTACCAGCCTCCACCCTCCCTGCTGTACGCTCCATGCGGCGTCTCCTCCGCCTGCCCTCTGTAGTGGTAGTGACGCCTTCGCTACCTTCACTGCAGGCGCTCGAGACACCGGAGGCAGACATTTCCGAGAAGCTTCCGAACGGCGGCGCTGGCTTCGTCTGCAAGGGGCAGGGCTCGGAAGACGACATCAAGCTTATCACGATCGTGGGGCACAGCCTCGGCGGTGCGCAGGCGCAGCTCGCGGCGGTCCAGATCGCCACCAAGTACAAGGCCAAGGTGCGCGTCATCACTTTCGAGTCCATCCTCGCCTTCACCCCGGAGGGGGCGCAGAAGGTTGTCGACGACTTTATCGTCGGCCCCGATGGCGTTCCCGACGTCAGCGGCAAGGCTGAGCCAACGATCAAGTTCCCCGCCGAGGCAGGCAAAATCACAGCGCAGCGGTGCGTGCTCTCTAGATGCAGCTGCAGATGTGATGTAGATGTGAGCCCTTGCATGCGAGAGACCTTCCTTCTCCCTAGGTGGGTTGAGGATGACTCGCCCCTGACAATCGCTCCGCTTCTCTACGGCGCTGGCGCCCTCTGCCCGTTTCCCTTCCTCGCCCCGTGCGACTTCTTCAGCCTGTCCTACTGGAAGAAGAAGCTCGACTTCGTCGGCTGCTGGCCCTTCAACCAAAACCTCGGCAACGGCTACATCTCCAGGGCGCTGGTCATCAGCGGCTTCCAAGCCGGGTTTTTGAAAGGCCCCCCCTCGTGGGGCATGTTCGGCTGCTGCCCCAAAGGAGGCGGGCGGCTGTGCCGGGGGTGCCACAAGGACACGCTGGTGTACCCAGACGATCGCTTCGTGTTCGACATCTCGGAAGAGCGCTCCTACGTGTCCAAGGGGGGGCGCCGGGCGTCGCTGATCGGCAACTGCCTCTGTGAGAGTGCGCGCATCAACAACCACCTCGCGTTCTTCCTGCTCTGGATGCTCTACAAGGGGGCGTACCAGAACAAGGCTCGGACGAACGGCAACACAGTGTCGCAATACGTGCCGAAGGTTTACGGGCCCGCGCCCTGCCACGCCTAGGCCCACGCCGCGCCGCGCAAGCCTATTCATGATTACAATGAGTAACTCTCAACTCATATCCTTTGGCAGCTTCTATTGAGGTGCGCGCAGTCCCGTGCCCAGTGTCGTGCGAGGGAGCTTTGTTGTAAAATTCTAATTTCTATTGAGGAGTATGAGTAGTGTCATGACGTCTGTCTGTGTTACTCATGAATCTGAATATAATGTTTTGATTTCAAATGTACAAGCGTGTGAGCATCTTCCAGCCCGGGTATACCGGCAAAAGTCCAGCGTCCAGGTATACCCGAGAAATACCCGAGCGCGTCTCCACATGCCGTGCACGCCGTAACTCCCAGGGTTCCTGCGCCAACTGCGGCGCGCACCGCCGCTGCTCAAGTACGCGCACCGCACCATGTGCTGCACCTCGCACCCGATCTAGCCCGATGCCCGCCCTGGGTGCGCACGTGCGCTTCTTACTTTAAGTTAGCTCCCCGGCCCCGGTTGATGACGCACTCTAGTGCTCCAAGTGTGACGAAAGATAATAAGGAAAAGAAAAACGTATATGCCGACAACACAGGCTCACTGCACACTGGGGTCTGGGCACGGGACTGGCGCGCACTGGCACGGACACCTACACTCCTATTCGACACCAACCACCAATGTTTGCCAAATCCCAAAAGTCACCGCCGAGCCGCCACGATACGACGACGACGAGCCCGCCAAACCTACTGCCGCTACTGACACATCACCAGCACATCACCAACACGGCTGAGCCACTCCATACCCAAGAGTTGACGACGAGGGCGGCGGACCACAGCTCGCTGCTCACAGAAGAGCCCGACATCGCTTGCCTCGGCTATCTCGGTCGTGGCAGGCACGTTCCGCGTTCCGCACCAGCGGATTTTGCTCGAGGCTCCTCGGAGACACTCGTTTCGCCGCCTGCGTGGCCGAGTCCGCCTCGAGAAAGCGGCGCACGTCAGCGAGCGTGGTGCCGTGCGGATCGGGGTGCAGCGCCATCAACCAGCCGTAAGAGAGGACTAGGATAGACCGGTCGCCTCGCTCGAGCATCGCCTCGTCGCACGGGACGAAAGCGTCTTCAGGAAGCTCCTGTCGACGGCGCATGATGACCGCTCCGCTGTCCTCGCGTGCCAAGCTCGCGTCCGCCTCAGGCGACTGCAGCCAGCTGCCGCTGACCAGCCGGATCGAGCCATCTCCAAGGCGCTCTTTCAGCTTGGCGTCTATGACGCTGTCCGCGGAGGCCAGCGCTTTGGTGAAGTCGATGCCCGACTGCCGGCACACGGTGAGACCATGGGTGTGAGGTCAAACCACGCTACCAGCGCTTGGTCACATCGGCCCCGAGGTCAGATCCTTCTACTCTGTTGATGACAATACTTGTCTACTGGCTGGAGCCGAGCAGGAGGGCCTTTTTCAAAGTCCTGCTCCCTCCCTCGTCTCGCCCTGCGCGTCTGCTCCGCCTCACCGTCTTCTGCCCTGCGTCGTCTGGCGACGCACGGGTCCTCCATAGTCGGTCGAGGTCGCCGCCCTCCTCGTGCCCTTCCCAACGTCCCCTCGGCGGTCGATGCCGTCTGCTCCGGCTCCCCAGTCCCCGGGTCTGCCCTGGCCCCTGCTCTCGTCTGCGCTAGTTTCTGCTTCGTTATCACCGGCGTCTCTCCTCTTCCGCTTCTCCCCTTCTTGTCGATGCTTTGCACATCGCGTCGATTCCTTTTGAGTGTCTGTGTACGATGATCAGTAAATTGATGTGAGCGTTATGGGAGCTTTAGAAAAACAATACCGGACACTCCGACACGTGTTCGGACTTCGGGGGGGGGGGGGATCGCGGGCTTCGGCGGCGCACGGACGACAGTGTCCGCGACACACGGGGCACACGACTAGTTGCAAAACCCGCCAAAAACTACCAAAAACGGTGTCACGGCCAGCTCGGCACTATCTACTCAAAAAAAGTGACGTAGAGCACCCACTTTTTAAGCGTTCCGCGCACACACAAGGTCCCCCTGCGTGCGCCGCCAGCTTCCCAGGGCCATCGCGCGAAAAACGACGGAGGAGATGCATCCTAGCTGTCGCCACCGAAGGCGACTCGACGCCGCTGAGATCGGAGATCAAGCTCTGACAGGTCACACGTCGCTCCTTTGACGCCGACGTGACTCACCCGTACAGAGCGCATCAGGACACAGTCTCGACGCGCTGAGCCCTGGTCTGACAGACTGACAGCAAACCCCGGACAGCGCCTGACAGTGCCCGACAGCCTGACAGCGCTGACAGCACTTTCTCTGACAGTCTGACAGCACGTATCTGACAGCCTGACAGCAGAGCCTGACAGGCGAGGTGACCCGTCGCTGTCAGGCCCTAACGTGACAGCCTGACAGCTAGCTGCCTGACAGCCCGACAGCACACAGTGGCCTGACAGCAGCGCTGACGACAGCCTGACAGCAGCACAGACCGTACACAGACCCCGTAGAGCCTCTTTCTTGTGCCCCATGAGGGTATAACAAAATTACATGCAAAGACATGTGAGTGTGGTCCATGTAGTCATGGGATGGTCATGGGTCTCTCTTTCAACCCTCCCGCCCCACCTCTGCGGACCCCTCTCCAGCACCGGCGGCTGTGCTACTACAAATGAAGCTACCAGCTAGCCTTCTGGGGCCCTACAGTCATATGCCTACGGCGTCTGGGTGGGGGTGGCCGCCGCCGTCTGTGCCGCCGCCGCCGCCTGTGCCTCTGTGCCGCCATCTGCGCTCCCCAGGCGGCCGCCGCCGCCGGCGTGATCACGCCGTGTACTAGGCCGTGTAGGAGGGGGGGTAGCTGCGTAGCCGCCGGCGTCATCGGCGTCAGCACCCCCTTGATAGTCAGCGCCCTCTTGATAGTGTCATAAGTGTGGCTGGTGTGTGTCAGAGCCGCTGACAGCACCCCGACAGCACCACCTGACAGCACCTGACAGCAACAGCCCAACGTCTAAAACAGCAGCAGCAGCCTGACAGCTCCGACAGCGTCTGACAGCAACACCCGACAGCTCCGACAGCACCCGACAGCTACAGACCACTTCGCCTGTCAGACACGCACCCGACAGCACCTGACAGCACTGACAGCACCTGACAGCTGGTCTGACAGAGGTACCTGACAGTGCCTGACAGTGCCCGACAGCCCGACAGATCACCTGACAGCACCTGACAGCCTGACAGCCAGGGCTCAGTCGACGCGCTCGGTACGACGCCTGCGACCCGTCTCGGGTCAAGTGGCACGACGCTCATCGCGCCTGCCAGCGCTGCCGTGCAGGTTGCCACGACGAGGTCGAGCACGCTTCTATACGCTCGCCCAGCCTTCCTTTCCATCCCATTAGGCAGCCTGGGAACGGTGGCGGTCAGAGGCAAAGCCTGCGAGGGGTGGTGGAACCACATGTACATGTCACGGCTACTGCCGGCTCGACGCGACGATAGCCTCCGAAGGCTGACTTTGAGGCACAACCATCGGACGATGTCGACGAGTTGGGTCGCTCTCGCGGTATCCAGGTTGCCCCCCATACTAGTAGCACCAGCCATGGCCTCAGGGAGCGCGGGCGAGGGCGCTGGGAGCAAAAAAATCAAAAGTGGTCATGTTCGATGTTGACACCACCCGTATTTGCAACTAGTCACACGCGCACCGACACGCGCCCGGGCGCTGGAGCTACTGCGTACTGGAGCGCACAGCCACAGCGGGACGTGAGAGGCCGAGGGTGCTTAGCTGCTTACGGGGGAAGGACCGTGAGTTGACGGAAATCGGAGGACGCGACCCACTTCGCCACAGACGGTCCCGCGCCTCGCCGCTATGACGGCCACACGACCGCAGCTCGTGTGCGTGTGGCCGTCTTTGTCCGGAGTGAATACTCCAACGCGCTCGTCGGTGACGGTGTCCTCCAACCTGTGCCGCGCTCGGCGAACCTCGACAGCGCCTTCGGTGGCATGCAGCTCTTTGCGCCTGAAGCCTGGAGTGAAGCTCCTCTGCTGCTCACACACTCTGCACAGATGACACAGCCCACTGTGCGGCTGCCACAGCTGTGACAGCGATGGGCTCGCCCTCACTGGCCCTCAGTCACTTGTGCTGCGGCTTGTGTGAGCGACACTGCGCGGCGACTGCCGGCACACTGTGAGACCATGGGTGTGAGGTAAAACCATGCTACCAGCGCTTGGTCACATCGGCCCCGAGGTCAGATCCTTCTACTCTGTTGATGACAACACTTGTCTACTCGCTGGAGCCGAGCAGGAGGGCTTGGCGCACAACCCCTGTTCAACTCAGGGTCCTTCCCCTTTACCCGCAACCCGGCTCCCGGCGGCTTTTTTTCTGGGTGCGCGTGTGCATGGCCTCCGCGCCAAAAATAATGCACCATGGCACTGACGGAGTCTCTCTCTCTCTCTCTCTCTCTCTCTCTCTCTCTCTCTCTCTCTCTCTCTCTCTCTCTCTCTCTCTCTCTCTCTCTCTCTCTCTCTCTCTCTCTCTCTCTCTCTCTCTTTCTCTCTCTTTTTCTCCCCCCCCCCCCCCCCCTTCCCCCCATGACCGGAAGAGTAACCGCGCTATCAGCAACATGACCCACGACGCCGCGCCGCTAACGGCTTTAGGCGCCGGCAAAGACGCCGAGGTAGCGAGTGGCCAAAGCTGCAACCGCGACCGCGACCGCGGCGGCGGGCAGCGCATTGCGCACCGCCGCGCGCTGGCGCTGCTCGGCGGCGGAGGCCGCCGTGAGGCGGATCACCTCCTCTGCCGCCGCGAGGATCTTTGGTCGCGACGGGTCGTCGGCGGGCGTGCGGCGCTTGATGCGCGTGGCAAAGTCGTGGAACCAAGCCTCGACGGCGGGCATGGTTCCGCACGCGAGGATGAGCTGCGCGGCCTGCCCCTTGCGGATCTTGACCACGCCCGAGAAGACCTGCGGGTTGTCGAAGCACGCCTCGAGCGTCGCGATCGCCATCACCTGCGGGATGGCGGAGAAGCGGAAGACCTCCGGCGTCCGCAGCCGCCGCAGGTACTCGAGCGAGTCGGGCACGAGCTCGAGCGCGTCGGCGACGAGGAAGTTGAGGCACGCGAGCGCGGACGTGCGCGTGCCCTTCCCGATCACCGCCCCGCCCTGCGGGTCGGCGGCGGCGTCGAAGGCCGAGGCGTACAGCCCGCCGCCATGCGCCGTCGGCCTCGCAAACTCGCCGAGGTCGGATGTGCGCGCAAACTCGCGCCAGACGGACTGCGGCCAAAAGGCGCGGCCGTCGACGTAGTCCTCGAGGTAGTCGCGCAAGATGTTTGTCTTTTGCAGGAAGAGGCCCATCGAGTTTGCCAGCCCGTAGTTTGCGCCGCCCGCCGCCTCCTCCGCCGGCTGGCAAAACGGCCACGTGAGCCTCCCCTGGCCGGCGATCGAGACCGACTCGAAGCCGCGCGCGACAAAGGAGCGCGTCAGCCCCTCGCCGACCAGGCCGGCGACCGCGTGGCAGTACCGGTTGTACATGGCCAGGTCGGCGGTGCCCTGCCCGAGATCGACCCCGACCTGCAGCCGACGGGGCCGAGGTGAGCCCGAGGTGGGAGGCCGAGGTGGGAGGCCGAGGTGGGAGGCCGAGGTGGGAGGCCGAGGTGGGAGGCCGAGGTGGGAGCCACAGGTGAGCCCGCACTTCGTGAGCCGAAGTGTGAGCCCGGAGTGAACCCGAGGCGTGTGCTCCAGGTGTGCTCCAGGGGTGCTCCAGGTGGGAGTCCGAGGTGTGAGCCGCAGGGGGCGGCCGACCTGCTCCGCCATGCCCGCGCCCATCCGGCGGGTGATGTCGCGGATCACCTCGCGCGACTCGGCGGGCAGCCGGTTGAAGAGGCGCGAGACGGCGCCGAAGCGCTGCAGCAGCTCCCGCTCCGCGCCCTCGCCGACGCCGTCGAGCGACCACGCCTCGTCGCCGAGGTACGAGTCGGCGAAGGCGGTGAGGTGCCTGCACTTCGCCGCCTCGTCGTCCTTGAACGCCTCCATGTCGTCTTCGATGGTGTCGAGCGCGCGCAGCACGAGGTAGAAGAGGAGCACGTCGAGCACCATCTCCGCGGGCAGCTGCCGGATCACCGCCGCGAACGACCGCGAGACGAGCCCCAAGATCCGGTCGCAAAAGACCAAGTCGCTCGCCGCGCCCGCCGCCGCGCCCGCCGCGCCCGCCTTTGGCACGACGAGGTTGGAGGAGAGGGCGCGCGAGCCAAACTTGAGCCAGACGGCGGAGAAGAGCTCGTCGACCCGCGCCATCTGCCGCACCTTCGAGGCCGAGTGCTGCGGCACCTTGCCGTACCCGCCCTGCTTGTTTGCGGCGGCGGCCGCGCTCGAGCGGTTGCGGTTGGTGAGGTCGTAGCGGCGAGCCTCGCGCTCGTACCGCAGCGTCGCGTCGCGCCGCTCGTCGCTGCCCCACTTGGCCGCGCCCCACCCCTGCTCCTGCGCGTACAGCTGCGACAGCTCGCACGCCGCGCGGCCCTCGTGCGACCCGTCGCCCTTGCGGTGCTCGGGCGGCGCGTCAAACCGCAGGATCGGCAGCTCCGCCTGAGGCGAGGGCGGGCGCGGCGCGCGATGAGGAGGCGGGCGCGCGGCGCCGCTCGACCCCCCCCCTCTCCTCTCTCTCGCGTCCCCCCTCCCTCGGCGGCGCCCGCGCCTTGAGGCGCCACGCCGCGTCGAGGTCCTCCCACCAGCCGTACAGCCGCTCGCGCGCTATCACGCGGAACCAGGGCGACCACAGCTCCGTCGGCTCGCCCATCCACTGCCGTAGCCTGCCCGCAGGGTGGGAGGGGGGGGGGGGGGGGGGGGCTCCGGTCACGAGAGGGCGAGTGCGGCTCCGTGTGCCCGCGCCGACGCGCGCCGCGTCGCGTCGACCCACTCGGTCGCCATCACCTCGTCGGGCTCCGGCGCGAGGGCAAAGGCGGCCGCCTCGACCGGCAGCCGGACCAGCACGAGGTAGTCGATCTCGTGCTCGCCCCACGGCGCGGCCGGCCCGTGCGTCACCGTGTCCGCCGCCCAGTAGTGCACGCGCCCCATGTACTTGAACTTTGCGTCGGCCAGCTGCGCCGGCTCGATGCCGAGCTCGTGCTTGAGCTTGCGCACCGCGGCGGCAAAGATGCCCTTGGGCTCGCCGGACGTCTCGGTCCGCGGCGGGTCGACCTCGTCCGGCGTCTGGCCGTGCAGCGGGTGCGAGCAGCACGTGTTTGTCCACACGCGAGGGAAGGTGACCTTCGAGGCGGCGCGCTGCTGAAGGAGGAGGCGGCCCGTCGAGTCAAAGAGCATCACCGAGAAGGCGCGGTGCACGACGCCCTTGGGCTGGCCGGCCACGAACTTGTGCGTGTTGTACTTGTTGTCAGCGCCGATGACCTCGTCGTTGTAGTTCAGCACGAGGCACTCGTCCTTGAGCATGAAATCGTGCTGCGACATGCCGGCGCCCGTCCATGACGACGTGCGCGTATTCGCCTTGGCCATCTCGCAGAGGGACGGAGCTGCGGAGGAGGCGGAGGAAGGAGGACGGCTGTGGGCGCGGTGCGTCGGTAGCGGCGGCGTGACGGCGGCGCACCGAGCGAGCTGCGGCAACGCAAGGAGCAGAATGGATTCCAAGCCCGCGATGTTTTTCTTCTTCCCTACTTGGCACTGGCTCTCGAGGTCTCTTGGAGCAGAGCCCCGGCGAGTCCTCGAAAGAGAACCCAATGGGTCCTCGGAGAGGGTACCCTGGGTGGGCGGGGCCTCTACATGTAGCACTAGCTCTACTCGCCAGGGCTACACGGCTCATGCCGTTCGGATCGTTAGGTGTCATATGGGTCCACCGACAGGAATAGGCAGCCGCTCGCGCGAAAAAACGGAAGAACGAGCCAGTCTAAGGTAAGGTATCAGGACTTTGCGGAGATCAGCAGGAGGATGTACGAAGAGATTAGGAGCAGCAGGGACCCGAGGGACCATGTGGAAGACGGCTAGTGCTAGTCCCCCATCGGGAGGACGACCCCGGCTAGTCGCCGACCACACCCACAAAGAACCCTGCACAAAGATCGCAAGGGCGGGGGCCTGTTCCTTTTTACCCATCTCACAGTAGAGAGGTGTCCGTTTTATTTATTTATTTAAGGTAAGGTAAGGTAAGGTAAGGTAAACTTCTCCCTCGCATAATGTGGGTAAACCATAGTACCGTATTCGGTACTATGAACAGAGAAGCCCATAAAAGTCGCCGCGGCAGTCCACAACGAGCCAGTCTATAGAACGAGCCAGTCTAATCTATAGAGTAATACACAAGTATAACAACACAAACCGGTCTCTCTCCCCTCTCCTTCTCGCTCCAAGGACTCCCCGCCTCCTCCTCCTTGCGCTGGCGTGCCAGCGCTTCTCGTGATGGTCTGCGGCCGGCCGCCTCGCCCTCAAAATCGCGCACCTGTCTCCTGCACCCGCCGTGGGTCGCCAGTGCTCAAAGAGCACTATAGCTCGTGGTCGCGCCGACCTCTCCCGCCGCTCCGCCTGCGTGCGAGCGAAGATCGCGGTGAGGAGAGGCGCCGCCCCGGTCTGCGTCATCGGAGGCTCGGCGCTGCGCTGCGCAGCCGCGCCCGCCCGCGCGGCATGTGTCTCGGGTCTTGTGGAGGGATGCGAGCTCACCTCCTGCGGTCGCGACGTGGTGGTAATCCTGGCCGGCGAGGCCGGCGGAGAGAGGGTCGTCGGCGTACGACAGCCCGCCACCGCCGAGCAGCGAGCATATGCGGAAGCAGTGCGACGCCGCGCACAGTTTGGGGAGCAGATTTGTCAGCGTGAGCAGCACCCCCCAGGTCGTCCCCTCGCCACACAGAAAGGCGATGTCGGTGACGGTGGTCATGCCCGCGAAGAGGACATAGCCGAAGCACTGCGCGTCCGAGCCCGACCGACAGCAGATCAGCCCCAGCAGCGCGACCGCCAGGTTGGCGGCAAGTGGAAAGCTTCCGAGCGAGCCGAGCAGGCAAACCGCAAACGACGTGAGGCAGAAGATTTCGATTTGCGCGGTCGGCTCGAGGAGGGAGAAGGCCACCAACCAGGTGGAGCCTCGCGCCGCAAGGACTCTGATCTTCTCCTCCACAACGTCCATTCGCACGGTTTGTCGCACGGTTTTTGCGCGGCCGGCGCCAGCCGCGGCGCATATTTTTAATTCTCAAACGTCCTTCTTTTGCGGGTTCTCTTACTAACGTGAAGCCGGGCAGCGTGACGCCGCTACCTTTACTCTACTCAGAGCGGTGGTTGAGGCCGATTGCCTCAACTGTCAACCACGTGGTTGACAGAGGCCTCAACCCTCAACCAAGTGGTTGACAGACCCCTTCAACCCCTCAACCACGCGGAATGGCTGTTCACACCCCCCGCGCAAAGGTCTTAACACACATTCTCTGTGAACCATTCATGTCGTCTTCTTTAACGCCTGGATGCTGCATCACACCTCCCATTCACGCACGTAGCTGAAGCAAGTATCGTAAAAACGGCGCGTCGAAGGCCCCCGCACGGGGGGATCCCGGCCGACGTCATGGTCGTCCGCGGACGCGGCCCTCCGTCTCCGGAGACATTACCGAACTCAAAACTGCTTACCAAAGCCAGATACGAGCTCAGCTCAGTGAGATCTAGCAGCACATACCCTCAGTATCCAGAAAAGTAAAGTCTGAGAAAGTCGGTCCGACCGCACACTAATGTGCGCGCAGAGCGGTCTGGCTGTCTGCAGAGCTTCCGTCCGAGCCCTGAGAAATGTCGGAGGCATGTCGGCCCATGTCTGAGCCCTGGCCTCGACACCTCGACACCAAACCTCGACACCAACTCGACACCAACTCGACACCTCGACACCCCATGCCAACTCGACCAACTCGACACCCCTCGACACCCCTCGACACCCCTCGACACCCCTCGACACCATCTAGGCTGAAACCATGCTCGACCGTGTCAAGGTGCCAAACTCGACACCTCGACACCCCTCGACACCCCTCGACACCGCTCGACACCCCTCGACACCGCTCGACACCGCTCGACACCGCTCGACACCTCTGATGATCCTAACACAGCAGAGATGTAGACCCATTGGAGTCAGAGTTAGAAATCAGGGTTGCAGCAGCAATCAAACTTGGCTGGCAGTACTTTCATCCCTGAGTTGCAGCCTCTCAAGTTCTAGCTCAAGTTGCAGCTCAGTTGTGTAGGGTGCCCACAGGGCCCAAAAAAAGAAAGGAAAAAAGAAATGGGCCAGCCCCGATCGCAGCACTTCGTGTTGGCCAGTCGAGAAATTGAGAGTGTGACTAGGAGGGTGGGACGCTGGGGATTCTCAAAGGTATACCCTTGGAATGGCCGGATCCAGCCTTAAAAGTACGAGATCGCGCGCGCTTCGCGCGCTGCACCGCCTGTTCTCCGCGGCTGAGTGACGACGCGTTCTGCCGGGCGCGCATCTGAACTCGTACCTGGTAGGCCATCGCTTTGCTGAAGGATCAGGCGCCTGAATGGCGACAGTGAGCGTCTCCTACTTATGGATTGCGCTCAAGGTACGAGGACCGCAAGAGCGCGCCGCAGGCGAAGCGATTTTTTTGGCGGCAGGGCTGTTCCAATCTTGTGATCACGCGCGAGCCTGTGAATACGCCCCGGAGGCCTCAATCCCCAACTGAAGGGTTGACGGGGGGTCTCAACCGTCAACCAGATGGTTGAGGGGGGGCCTCAACCCTCAACCCGTCAACCACCCCGCTGAGCAGACTTTACCTCCCATGCGTGTTTGGTCGCTCCTTTCCTCGGGCTGCTTCCATCTCCTCGTCTCTTTCCCACCTAGGCTCCTGGAGGGCATTTTCTTTCTGCAAACGTTCTTCCAATTGAGCTCTCCTTAAAGCAAAACGAAAAAAGAATTCAGTCGCCGGCGCCACGGCGAGCCTCGGCGACAAAGGTCAGCATTCTATCTCACGCGGTCGGTTGGGTCACAGAGAAGGCACCCTCTCGAGCTGCATGTTGCCCATGTTGGCCCTGTCCTCGCGTGGCGTGGTCCTCCCCACAGCGACTCGTGCAACGCTATCCCGGCCCGGGGCCACAGCTCCTGCGACGATGAATTTCTTGGACGACTACAAGCGCGAAGCCGGCCTGCAGCCGGCCACCAGCCTGTCTCGCCGCGGTGCAGAGCCCGGCGCCAGTCTTGACCCGAACGTGCCGACGGCGGAGGAGGAGCTGCTCTCCGGCGAGGAGAGGCAGGCGGCCATCTACGCGCGGCTGATGGCGGAGATGGAGGCGGACTGCGACGGGGGCGACGGCGTGGCGTGCGAGGAGCTCTCAAAGGAGGAGGAGGCCAAGGCGGCGGCAGCGCCCGATACGCCGGCGAGGGGCCCGAACCTGCCGACGGCGGAGGAGGAGGAGTCGAAGCGCGTCGCGGCCGAGGCGGCCGCAGGGCGGTACAAGGCAGAGGTGGCCAAGCTGCAGGCGCGGGCGGAGGCGGTGCCGGCGCCACTGCCAGCTGAGCGGCAGCTGCTCGCCGAGGAGAACGACGTGCAACAGCCCGCGCCGGCTGCTCAGACCCTCGAAGAGCGGGCCCTCGCCTACCTGCGAAAAGTCACCGGCACCGGCACCGGCGCAGCGCCCGCGCCGGAGGCGACTCGCGATGCCGCCCCCGCAGCAATTTCGGACGCCGCCACGCGCGATTCGTCTCCGTCTGCACTCCCGGCCACTGCCACGCGCGTCTCCGTGTACGAGGCCGAGGGTCCGCCGCAGCGGCGGGCTGACACGGAGGAGGCGGCGCGGCGGTGGGCGGCGGCGCAAACGCGGGCGCAGGCACAGACGCGGGCGCAGGCGCGGGCACAGGCGCAGGCGGCGCGGCCGGCGGCCGGATTGGTTGAAGGGTCTCTGTTGGGTTGGAGGAAGCTCCTGCGGAAGGCAGACGAGGCGCTGGCGACGGTCGCGCGGCTGGAGGAGGAGTGCGGTTTGGGCGACGAGGTGGCGTGCGAGGCGCTCTCCAAGGAGGAGGAGACCAGGGCGGCGTACGCTTGGGTCGAGACGGCACAGGCCGGGGCGAGGGCGGAGGAGCAGGCGAGGGTCGCTGCGGAGGAAGAGGCGAGGGTCGCTGTGGAGCGTGCGGCGGAGGAGGCGCACGCTCGCGCAGCAGCCGAGGAGGGTGATCGGGCCAGCGCTGCGGCTGAGGTGTCGGCGCTTGTGGAGGCCGCGGCGGAGGAGGCGACGCGGGAGGCTGCGCGGGCCAGGGCCGCGGCTGACGAGGCTGCTCGCGCAACGGCGGAGGCGGAGGGGGCGGCGCGCGCCACGGCGGCTGCCGACGAGGCGGAGCGCGCGGGGGGGCTGGCTCTCACGCCCGACTTGCTCGGCGGCGCCGACCTCTCCGTGTCGATCCGCGAGGCCCCGGGCAAGGGGTTCGGCGCCTTCGCGACGCGCCCGATCGGGGCGCACGCGACGGTCGGCGACTACACGGGCGAGCTTCTGTCTGCAGCCCGGCACAAGGCGCGATACGGTGGGGAAAGAGAGGGATGGTCGGACGAGGACGAGGCGTGGCTGGCCTCGCGGCGCGCGCGGGGCGTGAGCGCCACCGGCGACTATGTGGTCCGGGTGCACGACGACTTGTTTGTGGATGCAGAGGACCCGGCCGTGAGCAGCTGGTGCCGCTTCGTCAACCACGATGCGAGGCCCAATCTAGCGCTCAAGGTGCTGCCAAAGGGAGTGGGCGGCGCGCCGCGCGTGTGGCTCGTGGCCATGCACGCCGTGGCAGAGGGCGAGGAGCTCTGCTTCGACTACGGGCCCGACTTCTGGTCGGAGGACGATGGCGTCGAGACCAGGCACGGCCAGCGGGTGGAGGTGTCGCTGCCCGCGGCGCCGTGGTCGGAGCTGGCCGCCGCCAGCGCCGCCGCAGGCGGCAGGCCGGCAGCCGCCAGCGCGAGCGGTCGCACTTCGGTGGACAGCGAGACCCGCGACGCGGCGCCGCCGGTGTTGCGAGACCCGCGGCCGCCAGCTCGAGACTGTCCCTCTCCAGCCTCTCCCACCGTGCCGGCCGCTGCCCCCGCCACGCCAGCCGCCGCCGCTGCGCCGACCACCACTCCCGTCACTACGGAGGACGACACGGGCAAGGCGGAGTGGAAGCGCCTCCTCGCCGAGGCGCAGCAGCGCACCCGGGACCCAGCGGCGCCAGCCTCGCCGCTCCCTCCTCCGCCGCCGCAGCCGCTGCACTTAGCGAGGCCGCCCCCGTCCGCGGCTGCCGTCCCTGTCGCCGCCGCGCCCGTCGCTGCGCCACCCGTCGCCACACCGCCCGCCAAGGCGCCGCCGGCCAGATCCGGCCAGGCGCCGGCGAGGGACCCGAACGTGCCGACGGCGGAGGAGGAGCTGCTCTCTGGCGAGGAGAGGCAGGCGGCCATCTACGCGCGGCTGATGGTAGAGATGGAGGCGGACTGCGACGGGGGCGACGGCGTGGCGTGCGAGGAGCTCTCAAAGGAGGAGGAGGCCAAGGCGGCGTGGATCGCCTCGGCCAACGCCGCCGAGGGCCAGGCGCAGCGCGCGGCACCGCCCTCCGCGCCCGCCGCTGCGGCGCCATCTGCGCCGACGGGTACGCCGGCGAGGGACCCGAACGTGCCGACGGCGGAGGAGGAGCTGCTGTCGGGCGAGGAGAGGCAGGCGGCCATCTACGCGCGGCTGATGGCGGAGATGGAGGCGGACTGCGACGGGGGCGACGGCGTGGCGTGCGAGGAGCTCTCAAAGGAGGAGGAGGCCAAGGCGGCGGCAGCGCCCGATACGCCGGCGAGGGGCCCGAACCTGCCGACGGCGGAGGAGGAGGAGTCGAAGCGCGTCGCGGCCGAGGCGGCCGCAGGGCGGTACAAGGCAGAGGTGGCCAAGCTGCAGGCGCGGGCGGAGGCGGTGCCGGCGCCACTGCCAGCTGAGCGGCAGCTGCTCGCCGAGGAGAACGACGTGCAACAGCCCGCGCCGGCTGCTCAGACCCTCGAAGAGCGGGCCCTCGCCTACCTGCGAAAAGTCACCGGCACCGGCACCGGCGCAGCGCCCGCGCCGGAGGCGACTCGCGATGCCGCCCCCGCAGCAATTTCGGACGCCGCCACGCGCGATTCGTCTCCGTCTGCACTCCCGGCCACTGCCACGCGCGTCTCCGTGTACGAGGCCGAGGGTCCGCCGCAGCGGCGGGCTGACACGGAGGAGGCGGCGCGGCGGTGGGCGGCGGCGCAAACGCGGGCGCAGGCACAGACGCGGGCGCAGGCGCGGGCACAGGCGCAGGCGGCGCGGCCGGCGGCCGGATTGGTTGAAGGGTCTCTGTTGGGTTGGAGGAAGCTCCTGCGGAAGGCAGACGAGGCGCTGGCGACGGTCGCGCGGCTGGAGGAGGAGTGCGGTTTGGGCGACGAGGTGGCGTGCGAGGCGCTCTCCAAGGAGGAGGAGACCAGGGCGGCGTACGCTTGGGTCGAGACGGCACAGGCCGGGGCGAGGGCGGAGGAGCAGGCGAGGGTCGCTGCGGAGGAAGAGGCGAGGGTCGCTGTGGAGCGTGCGGCGGAGGAGGCGCACGCTCGCGCAGCAGCCGAGGAGGGTGATCGGGCCAGCGCTGCGGCTGAGGTGTCGGCGCGTGTGGAGGCCGCGGCGGAGGAGGCGACGCGGGAGGCTGCGCGGGCCAGGGCCGCGGCTGACGAGGCTGCTCGCGCAACGGCGGAGGCGGAGGGGGCGGCGCGCGCCACGGCGGCTGCCGACGAGGCGGAGCGCGCGGGGGGGCTGGCTCTCACGCCCGACTTGCTCGGCGGCGCCGACCTCTCCGTGTCGATCCGCGAGGCCCCGGGCAAGGGGTTCGGCGCCTTCGCGACGCGCCCGATCGGGGCGCACGCGACGGTCGGCGACTACACGGGCGAGCTTCTGTCTGCAGCCCGGCACAAGGCGCGATACGGTGGGGAAAGAGAGGGATGGTCGGACGAGGACGAGGCGTGGCTGGCCTCGCGGCGCGCGCGGGGCGTGAGCGCCACCGGCGACTATGTGGTCCGGGTGCACGACGACTTGTTTGTGGATGCAGAGGACCCGGCCGTGAGCAGCTGGTGCCGCTTCGTCAACCACGATGCGAGGCCCAATCTAGCGCTCAAGGTGCTGCCAAAGGGAGTGGGCGGCGCGCCGCGCGTGTGGCTCGTGGCCATGCACGCCGTGGCAGAGGGCGAGGAGCTCTGCTTCGACTACGGGCCCGACTTCTGGTCGGAGGACGATGGCGTCGAGACCAGGCACGGCCAGCGGGTGGAGGTGTCGCTGCCCGCGGCGCCGTGGTCGGAGCTGGCCGCCGCCAGCGCCGCCGCAGGCGGCAGGCCGGCAGCCGCCAGCGCGAGCGGTCGCACTTCGGTGGACAGCGAGACCCGCGACGCGGCGCCGCCGGTGTTGCGAGACCCGCGGCCGCCAGCTCGAGACTGTCCCTCTCCAGCCTCTCCCACCGTGCCGGCCGCTGCCCCCGCCACGCCAGCCGCCGCCGCTGCGCCGACCACCACTCCCGTCACTACGGAGGACGACACGGGCAAGGCGGAGTGGAAGCGCCTCCTCGCCGAGGCGCAGCAGCGCACCCGGGACCCAGCGGCGCCAGCCTCGCCGCTCCCTCCTCCGCCGCCGCAGCCGCTGCACTTAGCGAGGCCGCCCCCGTCCGCGGCTGCCGTCCCTGTCGCCGCCGCGCCCGTCGCTGCGCCACCCGTCGCCACACCGCCCGCCAAGGCGCCGCCGGCCAGATCCGGCCAGGCGCCGGCGAGGGACCCGAACGTGCCGACGGCGGAGGAGGAGCTGCTCTCTGGCGAGGAGAGGCAGGCGGCCATCTACGCGCGGCTGATGGTAGAGATGGAGGCGGACTGCGACGGGGGCGACGGCGTGGCGTGCGAGGAGCTCTCAAAGGAGGAGGAGGCCAAGGCGGCGTGGATCGCCTCGGCCAACGCCGCCGAGGGCCAGGCGCAGCGCGCGGCACCGCCCTCCGCGCCCGCCGCTGCGGCGCCATCTGCGCCGACGGGTACGCCGGCGAGGGACCCGAACCTGCCGACGGCGGAGGAGGAGCTGCTGTCGGGCGAGGAGAGGCAGGCGGCCATCTACGCGCGGCTGATGGCGGAGATGGACAGTCAGTGAGGCCGTTGCACGTGCAGGGGGGCGCCGTGCGCGGGGTCGAGCGGGGGGCTGCCGCTCACGCGCACCTGGTGCGGAACGGTCTCTGTTGTCCTCCCATCCCTCCACTTGGGTTCTCTCTATGTTTTCTTTCGATTTCTTTTGCGCACAAAGAAAACTTTACCACAAAAACTCCCTTTCCACAACACAGGCGCCAGGGCATCGACGTGGGCGGTTCCAGCTGGAGCGTCGAGACTCGAGTCTCGAGACGGCGCTCGGCGGCGGGCGGGGGAGAGGCGCATCATTCTCGCTGCAACGAGGACCGCCCGGTCGGTGGGGAAAGAGAGCATACAGTGTTTACACCTACATCGATCGTGGCGAGAGTCCCCTACTCCGCGACGACGAGCTTCTCGCGGACGGTGTCGCGCTCGGAGCCGTTTGGCATACGGATGGAGTAGTAGGGAGGAGGGTCGTCGTAGTACACTTTGAGCACCTCGACCAAGAGCCTGCTGCCGTCCTGCGAAGAGGGGTACCAGCACCTCGTCCCCACGGCGAGAGCGTCCTCGGCAACCGCGGTGCCTGCTGCGGGAGGCTCCGCATTTACGTCTGAGTGCCATTGAGCAGTCCTGGGCAAAAGCGTCCCCTCCCAGCACATCGATGGAAATTTGAGCGCAAGATTTTGCCGGCGGCGGAGAGCTTCAGAGACCTCCTCGCGAATGTGCTGCCCGAGGCCAGGAGGCATTTCGAACTCCCAAGGGGTGAGTAAGTCCTCGACCACGCGATCTTCCGGCGTGAAGGTGCCCTTGGAGACCCCCACTGGCATTCGCAGGCAGCGGCACGTGAGTTCAATTAGGTAGCGGATGGCCTCCTCGCTCTCCAGTGGCGTGGCGCTGCCGCCGGCGAGATGATGCTTGACAGCCTTGACATGCTCTCGAATGAATTTGGCCGCGCAAGCGCGATCGATTCTCTTGGTCTTAATCTTGGTTCCGCGGAGGTAGTCTTTGAAGCGCTGCGTGTCGCTGTCCAACCCAATCTGCAAGTCCAACCCAATCTGCAACAGCCCGGCGTCGTAAAACTCCTCCTTCTTCAAATTTGCCCGGGCGCGTTCCTCGGCCGACGGGAAGGCGCCAAGCCTCTTGAGGAACGCCGAGCCCTCCCTCTCGCGCTGCCGCACCCGCTCCTGCCGTCCCCTCTCGCGTTGCTCCCGTCGTTCTCGCTCCTGCCGTTCCCGCTCCTGCCGGTCTCGCTCGCGTTGCTGCACCCGCTCCTGCTCCCGCGCCTTATACTGGCCAATCGAACCGCACATATCGAGGCCGTTCAAAGCGTCGTTGAGACCATTGAGACTATCTTGCCTGCTCATCCCCCCCATTGATTGAGCCTGCGGCACTAGCGAACTTGGCCCTGCGACGCTCGATGGAGGTGCGGGCGCTGGGGCGCTCAGACGAGATCGCGCCCAGCCGCTGTCTCGTTGATTGTCGTCGACTGCTGCGCCCGTCGCGCCCGATAATCGACGTCGCACCCACCGCCCTCGCCGACCCCGCCGGGCTGTGAGTCATCCCCGACACCAAGCTTCCGCTTGTCCTCGTTGTCATCGCCGGCTCCCGAACGCTTGCCCTCGACGCGAAGCTGCCCCGTGCCCCTCTTGTTGCGTACGACGCTGACGCTGACGCTGCCGGTGCTGGTGCTTGCGCCTCTGCCGCTGCGCTTCCTGCCGCCTCGGCCGCCGCTAGTGCCGCCTCGGCCACGGCCACTGCTGCTGCCACCTCGGCCACGGCCCTTGCTGCCATCGTGGGCGCGACGAGGTTGTTGGTAGCCGCCAAGCTCTCGCGTCGTTGGATTGGCGCGCGGGTGGCGGCGGAGGGGGTCCCACTGGACGGTCTGCATCCACTGCTCACGAAAGGTGCCCAACTGACCGAAGAAGCCCCTGTCGTCCACGTGTCCGTCAACAAACAGTCGAGGATCCTTGTAAAAAGTAGTCGACTGCCGCTGCTGCGGAGCCTGCCGCTGCTGCGGCGGCTGCTGCTGCTGCTGCTGCGCAACACTGGCCATTGCGATGCCAATCTCGGCAAAGGTCGAGACTGACACGGAGACAGCGCCATTCCTGGCGTCAATCTCATCGGCAACCTTGGAGAGCGTCTCCTTTTCTGTTCCGTTCGCGGACTTGAGCTTGGCAATGACGCATGCGCGAATGGCACCGGGAATTTGCTCAGTGTCGAACTGCAGGCGTGCCGACCCGTTCTCCCAGACCACAACGGAGCGGATAGTCTTTGACAAATCCGCCTGCTCTCCCCAGTCGTACAAGAAGCCGTGGCCAACATCCAACCAGCGAACTTCGAACTTCACGAGGCCGGTCAGACGTGGTGGGTGATTTGCGAGGTTAGTGAGTTGCTTGAGGAGACGCCACACCTGGTCGCTCTCAAAGCAGTTGTCACTCGCACTGTGGAACAGAGCGCGCAGTGCGTCATTGTCGAAGGGCAAGGCGCGCAGGTCGCGCACAGACTTCGTCTTGTAAACCGGAGCAAGGCGCCTCTGCGCAAATGCCTGCACCCATTCCAACTCCGAAACGCCGCTGGCGCCCGTGCGTGCTTGAGGGTCAAGGGTGCTGACCAGCTCGCGGCGTGCGGTGGAGAACTTCTCGGCGCTCTTGGATCCAGCCGCCATTGCGGCCCGGGAGGCGTCTCCCTAGGTGCTCAACGCGGCCGTTTTCAGACGGCGTCGGCGTGCTCCCCGCGTCCAGAAATTCTTTTCTGGCACGGGCTGCAGATGCAGCGCTTGTCTGTCGTTCTCCACACCGCCGTGGCGTGGCAGACGGTGAACGAGCTAGCGTGCGGGGACAGCGGCATTGTGCACGGTGCTAAGTGCATTGCCGTTCTTAACGGAGTCGCTTAGGCGGCTCCGCCACTCCGCCTCCGGTGGTGTGCCGGTGATAGTACTAGCACGCGCCAGTTCGCACCTGTGTCGAGCCTGTCTGCTGTGAGAGAGAGTTCCTTTGTTTAAATTCTTTTCTGGAGTTGTTTTGTTTAAATTCTTTTCTGGGAAACCCGGAGCGCGGAGCTAGCTAACCCTCGGAGACCCGTGTTATGGCCCTACGACCGCGCACCCCCCAGGGCTAAGGCGCTGTGCGCGCGCTGGGCTCTCGTACCGGCCGCTTTGGGTCACCTTGTGGACTCGGTCGGTCGGTCGGTCGGTCGGTCGGTCGGTCGGTCTAGGGGGTGGTATGGTGACTTTGAATAAATAAAACGGACACCTCTACTAGGAGATGGGTAAAAAGGAACAGGTCCCCGCCCTGCGGTCTTTGTGCAGGGTTCTTTGTGGGTGTGGTCGGCGACTAGCCGGGGTCGTCCTCCCGATGGGGGACTAGCACTAGCCGTCTTCCACATGGTCCCTCGGGTCCCTGCTGCTCCTAATCTCGTCGTACATCCTCCTGCTGATCTCCGCAACATCCTGCTCCCTCCCTCGTCTCGCCCTGCGCGTCTGCTCCGCCTCCCCGTGTCGTCCGCCCTGCGTCGTCTGGTGACGGGTCCTCCATAGTCGGTTGAGGTCGCCGCCCTCCTCGTGCCTCTTCCCAACGTTCCCTCGGCGGCCGATGCCGTCTGCTCCGGCTCCCCAGTCCCCGGGTCTGCCCTGCCCTCGTCTGCGCTAGCTTCTGTTTCGTCATCACTGATGTCCGTCCTCTTCTTTCTCCTCTTGTTGGTGACTTTGAAACGTTGAACACGCGCAGCACGACGCGTCGAGCTGCAGCGCAAAGACGGGCGCACCGCCTGCCGGCGGCAGCAGCGTCGCGAAAGAGAGTTGCTCCTCGGGCGAGCCTGCTGCGGCAGGAGGGGGGGGGGGGGGCGTTAGCATCCACCTCACAGTACAATGGCGGCGTCGACGGCGGCGCAAGCGGCGGCAGAGCAGATGGTGTGCAAGTGCGGCGGCGGGCAGTTGCGGCGGGCGCGCGAGCCTCCAAGGAGAGGCCCGTCGAGCACCGCCACGCACCGCGCAACCTCGCGGCCCCTCACGCCGCCGCCGGCCCCCTCGCCGGCCTCGGCCGGCAGCGCCGCCTCCGAGCCGAGCACCGCCCACTCGCACCCGATCCGTCGCCCCGCGCCGTCCTACGGCAGGGGGCGGAGGGAGGGCAGGCGTTGGCTGGGTGGCACGGGAGGCCACCGCCTCGCCAGACGAGGGCTGGGGGGAGGGGAGTGGAGGGCGAGTTCTGGCGCCGTGCGCCTCTACGGCCACCGCGCGACCGCCGTCGACGCGGAGGGCGTGCGCACGCTGCGCAAGCATGTAGGTGCCGCCCCACACCGCGCAGAGCCGGCAGAAGGCCTGCGGCAGCTCCGACGCGCCGTAGAGCGGCAGCAGGTACGCGGTGGGCCCGTAGCAGCCGAGGGAGCGGAGGTGGCGGCACACGGCGACAATTGCGTCTCGAGCGGTCAGGCCGCCCTCGTCGCCCTCGCCGCCGTCCGCGTCCTCGCCACCTGCTTGCCCGCCTGCGTGGCCGCCCGCGGCGAAGGGGCCTGGGTGGTGCACGATGGCGTAGGCGGCCATGTCGCGGAGGGCCGGCGAGAGCCGGCTCGCCTGCAGGAAAGAGGCTCTGCGTTGTGCGTGCGTGCGTGCGTGCGTGCGTGCGTGCGTGCGTGCGTGCGCGCGTGCGCGCGTGCGTGCGTGCGTGCTGCGGGGAGGCGGGAGGAAAGGAGGCGTCGATACGCCCACCTCGCAGAATCCAGCAAACGAGGAGCCGATCTGCGGCGGCGGCACCGGCGGCGCGTCCGGCGCCGCGGCCGCCTGGAGCGAGAGGCAAGGCGGGTCCAACGGCGGCCGCCGGTCGGGGTGGTGCGAGTTTGCGGACGCCTTCTAGGAACCTTCACGGAACCTTCACGGAACCTTCTAGGTTGCGGACGCCTGCGCCGGGGGCGGCGGCGCGTCGGGCTCGAGGACGGGCTGCAGCGCGGCACACGACTGCAGGAACTTCATGAGCTTGCGCTTCTCCAGCAGCGGGATCGGCGAGGTGAAGATGTCGCCCTTACTGCAAGGCACGCGCCGAAGCGTCGCGCCGCCACCGCCGCCGCCACCGCCGCCGCTGCTGCTACCGCCGCCGCCACTGCCACTGCTGCCGCCACCGCTACCGCTGCCCTCGCCCTCGCCCTCGCCGTCCGCCTCTTGGTAGGCGTGCAGCGCGATAGACTGGAACTCGAGGTACGACGCGACGCCCGACGAGCGCATCGCGTCCACCATTGGCCCGCCGCCACGGATCAGCGACGGGGAGAGGTCGATGTTGAAGCGCGCGGAGCGGTCGAGCAGCTCGGGCGGCGGCGCCGAGGCGTCGCCTGGCGCGCCAGTCGCCGGTGCGTCCCCGGCTGGTGCGTCCCCGGCTGCGTCCACGCCGCCCGGCTCGGTGGTGCCGTCACCGGAGATGTAGGAGACGAGGCGTGGTGCGTGGGGAGTGTGCGTCACTCGCAGTGGCTGCGAGGAGTCGGGTTGGGCCACCTCGTCTCCGGGAGGTGCGCCAGCGGATGGGTCCATGCGTTGCGCGGCTTCGCCCGCGGCCGCCTCGCCCCGCAGCCACGCAGAGAAGTCGCGCAGCGAGAAGGTGGCGTGCCGTGCGCCGTAGAAGAGGTTTGCGTCGAGGTGGAGCACGGACTTCCCCGCGCGTGCACACGCAGCTGCAAGCACCGACTCGGTGAGGCCCGTGCCGATGACGACCACGTCGAAGGAGGAGGGAAGGGAGGACATGGAAGCGGCGAATTCGGCGGTGTGAAAATGAAGAATTTTGAGGAGGCAGGATGTCATCCCCCGATCCAGACTGCCCACATGGGGCTGCGACCCCCTGCTTCTAAAATTCTTTTGCTCGCGATGTCCACCCCGCCGCGCCGCCGCTCGCGCCGCCTCGCCACCGCCGCCACCGCCGCGCCCTCGCCCGACACGCCGCCGCCCACCCGCCTCCTCGACCTCCCCACGGACCTCCTCGTGCGCGTCGTCTCTCGCTGCGACCCCGCCGACATCGCTCGCGTCGCGGCCGTCTCGCTCCTCTTCCACGCCTCGCTTGCGGTGGAGGGCATCCGCTTGCGGGCGCAAGAGCGCGGCTTCGAGCTGCCGGCGCTGCCAGAGGGCGAGGTCTGCGCCGTGCGGTGGCTGTGCTATTCGGCGCTGCTGTGCGAGTCCAACCTGCCGGCAAGGGCGGTGGCAGGCTATCGGCACAGCGTCTTCATCGACGGCGAGGGGCGGCTCTCGTCGTGCGGCTCAGCGCCGCCCTATGCTCCAGCCCTGCTCGGGCACGGCGAGGGCGTGACGCAGCTCAACACGCCGACGCGCCTCCCTTCTCCGCTGGGAGGCGAGCGCGCCGTGAGCGTGTCGGCTGGAGGACACCACAGCCTCGCCCTCACCGCCGGCGGTGCCGTCTGGAGCTGGGGCTGTGGAGACTGCGGCCAGTTGGGCCACGGCGATCGGCAGGACCAGCTGCTGCCCAAGAAGGTCGAGGCCTTGGCTGGGCGGCGCGTCGTCGCTGTGTCGGTGGGAGAGCGCCACAATCTCGCCCTCACCGCCGACGGAGCCGTCTGGAGCTGGGGCTTTGGATTCTACGGCCAGCTGGGCCACGGCGACACGCAGGACCAGCCGCTGCCCAAGGAGATCGTGGCGTTCGCAGGGCGGCACGTTGTCGCTGTGTCGGCCGGAGAGATCGACAGTCTCGCCATCACCGCCGACGGCAGCCTCTGGAGCTGGGGCAATGGAGGCTTTGGCGAGTTGGGCCACGGCGACGCGCAGAACCAGCTGCTTCCCAAGAAGATCGAGGCGCTCGCTGGCCTGCGCGTCGTCGCTGTCTCGGCGGGAAACGCGCACAGCATCGCCCTCATCGCCGACGGCGCCGTTTGGAGCTGGGGCCATGGAACCTTTGGGCGGTTGGGCCACGGCGACGAGCAGCGCCAGCTGCTGCCCAAGAAGGTCGAGGCTTTGGCGAGCCAGCGCGTCGTCGCTATGTCGGCGGGACGTGAGCACAGCATCGCCATCACTGCCGACGGCGCCGTCTGGAGCTGGGGTAGTGGATACTTTGGCAAGCTGGGCCACGGCGACGCGCAGCGCCAGCCGCAGCCAAAGAAGATCGAGGCGTTGGCTGGGCAGCGCGTCGTTGCTGTGTCGGCTGGATATAGCCTCAGCTTCGCCATCGCCGCCGACGGTGCCGTCTGGAGCTGGGGCAGGGGCGAAGACGCCTGCCTAGGCCACGGGGAGGACCAGTCGCACCAGCTGCTGCCCAAGAAGGTCGAGGCGTTGGCGGGGCCGGGGCAGTGAGGCGATCGCCATCGGGGTCGGACTTTTTATTCTACTGTCCCGCCTTGCCCCAAGTTGGAGGATATTTTTCTTGTTTCTTGGCCGCCTCAGTTAGGTATTCACGAATGCAGTCAGATAGATAGGGTTGAGAACAGCCAGGCTCGGGCTGGACGTGGACCACGTAGCGGACGGGGCCGGTCGAAAAACTCGGACCCACGTAGACAAGGAGCGCGCGCCAATGGCCGCCTCCGTGACACTCCCACCTCCTGGGCCGGCGCGGGAGTTTTACTGCCGAGTTTCTCCCGGCCGGCCGCCTCCTGACACGCCCACTGACCGAGCCCATCGAAAAAATCCGGCCGCGCCGCACTGCTCTGACCCCTGCTCGCCCCTGCTCGCCCCTGCTCGCCACTGTCGCCTCGGTTGCCGAGGCTGCCGCGCACCCGCGCGCCCGCGTCGCTGCGCGACTACGAACTGCACCAGCTGGGCTCGAACCAACGACCAAAACGTCCCCGACCCGAACGCTGCACCAACTAGGCCACGCCCCAGGCTCGATTTGCAATGCGCACGATACTGGCCGCTCACTACTCATTTGCCGAGGCCACGCGGCGCCCCTCCACAGCCAGCCTACCCTCCTATCGCGCCACTCGAAGCCCCGCGGCCGCCTCTCGCCTACCGCGCTGCCCTCGCCTGCCACCGCACCGCCCGCGCTCCAGCCTAACCAGCTCTGCATCTCCGCGCAACACACTCATGACAGGGACAGACCTCAGGCGCAGGAAAAGGGAGCGGGGCCCGAATCCAAGGGACCACCCCGTCGGGCGGAAGAGCTGAGAACTCAGGTCCAGTAGGAAGGCTGCTGGCTCCTGACTCATCCCCCAAATCCCCCACCCCTGTGGCCTGAAACCTTTTACCATTCCACCACCTCACACACACACCTCCCCTAGGGCTAAGCAGTGCGCGAGCCCACCCAACATCGCCTTGCGGCGTACCATCGAGGGCTGGGGGCAGTTCCCTGAGAGCACTTGCCCCCGAAGGCAAGTGCGTCTGATTCACAGCTTAGGAGAGTAGGTTTTGTAACGCGAGCTGTGCCACAGTGAAATGGAACTAGCCACTGGGTCGACCACGACGAGACAGAAGAGGGCAAATAGGATGGAAGAACCTGGAGCGGACACCGCGGAGCCGCGTGTCAAAACCCCTGCCACCACTTTCGCTCCCGAAAGCTCCCCCTGGTCCTCTTCCCCTCCTCCTCTCCCCCTCCATCCCCGCCCTCGGCCGCCCGCGGCGACTCCGAGCCCACGTCCGTCCCGCTCCACTGTCCCCGCGGGCCGAGAGTGACGCCGTTTTTAGCGGCACCCCGCTCGGCCGCCCGCCGCCCTCCTCCCGCCCCTCCCCTCCCCCCTCCCCCTCCCCCTTTCCCCTCTCCCCCCCGTCCCTCCGCACGAGCTCGGGCCGCTCGCAGCTTGGCCTCTGGCCAGCCGTATGCCCCCTCCACCGGCCTTGAGCTCGAGCCTGCCGCCGCGCCTCGGCCCGTGCGCCAGTCATCCCGCCGCCCGCCGCCCGCGCCGAGCGTGGCGGAGCGCCGGCTGTGCCCAGAGGCGAGGGCGGCGCGGTTCAGGTACCTGCGCGGGGACGGCGGAGGGGGGCAAATTTGAATGGCGCGGGGATCGTGGCTTCCGAGGGGTGGCGAACGCAACCAGGCCGCTCGCGGTGACGTGTCTGGTTCTGTTGGCGCGCCGGTCGTCCGCGTCGCTCTGGCGACCGCCGCCGCCGCCCGGGCTGCCGCGCGCGCGGTCGATGGGCAGGACGGGAGGCCCCTGGTACGGCGACGACACGCCGTACCTCCCGGCGGGTGGCGCGCCCGCCCGCGCCGCCGCCTCCTCCGCCTCGCGAGCGGCGGCCGCGGCAGCCTCCGCACGCTGCGCAGAGGCGAACGCCTGCGCCCGGGCCGCCGCCGCCGCCGCCGCCGCCGCTCCCACCGCCTCCTGCTGCTGGAAGGCCTCGCTCTTTGCGCGCGCGGTGGCGGCCGCCGACGGAGATCCCGCCGCCGCCGTCGCCGCCGATGCAACCTCCGATGCAGCCTCCGCTGGTGGTGCCGACGGCGGTGGCGTCGCTGCCGGCGGCGGCGGGGCTGGCCGCGCCGCTGCCGGGCCCTCCCCACCCAATGGCTCCTGCAGCCGCTTATTCTCCTCGAGCAGCTGGTCGACGAGCTCGCTTCGGCCGCCCGCCGGCGAAACCTCGCGGGCCGCCTGCGGGACGTGCCGTGGACGTGTGGACGTGTCGGTGACGTGTCCCGAGCGCGCCAGCGACGAGCGTACCGCCTTCGCCGCCGCCTCCATCTCCGCCTCCATCTCGGCCTCCATCTCCGCCATCTGCGCGGCTCGCGCCACCAGGCTGCCCATCATCAGACCCGCGGGTGGCCCGCCCAGCCCAAACGGTGGCCCTCCCCCCTCCATCCCCGGCCACCAGCCGCCCCCCATGCCAAGCGGCGGGCCGCCCGTTCTCGCCATGCCCTGCGCCACGCCGCCCAACATGCCGGGAGGGCCGCCAGCACCGCCCGCCCCGCCCATGCCACTCACGCCGCATCCCTGCGCCGCGGTGGCTTGAGGCGCCTCCGCCGACGCCTGCGACGCCGGCGCGGCCTGCGACCCTGGCGCGGCCTGTGGCGGCGCCCGCGGCTGTGGCGCAGCCCTTTGCGGCTGCGGCGCCGTCCGAGGCTGGGGGGGACGGGCGGCGCCTGGATAAAACGTGCCGGCACCTGCGCCGCCGCCGCGAGCGCCGCGAGCGCCGGCCGGGCTGCTGCCGTAGGCGACGCCGTAGCCGCCGTACCCATGCACCGCGTCCTGCCGCGACTCCGTCGCGGGGTATGCCCACTGCGCGTCTCCGGACACCCTCCCGAGCGCCCGCTCGGCGGCGCTGCCGCGGCGGAGCCCGCCAAACCCACCGTTGGGGCCCCACGACCCCCTGCCGCCCCAGCCGCTTTGGTCGTAGCCGGGAACGGCGCCGAAATTTGAGCCGCCGCCGCCGCCGCCGTACCCATACCCGTAGCCGCCGCCGCCGCCGCCGCCGCCGCCGCTGCTGTAAGCTACCTCCCACGGCGACTGTCGGCCGTACCCGCCCCAGCCACCCCAGCCGCCCCAGTTGCTGAACCTGCCTCGGCGACCAGAGAGGGCAGCGCCGCCGCGGATCGGCATGCCTCCGCCACCGACGTCGCCAAACATGAAGCTCTCGTAGCTCTGCCCGTAGCCGATGGGAGCGGGCCCGCGAGGAGCGCCGCCGATGCCGCCGCCTCCGATGCCGCCGCCACTGATACCACCGCCACCGATGCTGCCGCCCCCGTCCCCAGGCCACCCTCCTGGGCTGGCCGCCGCCGGCCCGCCGCCTCCGCCTGGCACAACGCTGGGTGCCAAGCCAACGGTGGCGAGGCACGCGTCCACCTTCTGCATCAGGTTTAGCGAAGCCACGCTCGACTCCATGCCGAGCTCCCGCACCGCACGGTCGACCGTCTCGGCAAGTGTCGCTCCCTTGGTGATCCGCAGCTGTGTGCAAAGGGTCTCGACCTTGTGCCGCAGGCTAACAACGGCGTTCTGGGATTCACCTAGCTGCTGACGCGGCGGCGAAAGACGGAGAGGCATTGCTCCGCGCCAACGAGGAACATGGATCGTGTCGTGAGCCGGCAGCGCGATGCGCAGGAAAGGAGCAAGGGCAAGTTGCGCCGCGCCAACGAGGAACATGGATCGCGTCGTCGAGGAAACGACGCGGAAACGAGAGCCGCAGCGGAACGGCGTCGAGGCGAAAGCCCGGCCAGCTTCGACCGAATGCGCGATGACGTCCCCGTGTAAAATTCTTTTTAAATACGAGGGGTAGCAAAAAAAAAGAACTTCGGTCGGGCTCCCAGGCGATCTCAGCCACCCGCACTGGGTGGCGGCAGTGGCCGCGGCGCCCTGCTCGCACTCTTCCCCGCCTCGAGAGTGTGGCGCACCGCCAGGTTTGCGATTTCAGCGAGCGCGTCCGCCTGGCCCACCGCGCTAACCACCCAGCGCACCCCGGCCGTCACCGCAGAGCGCACCTTCAGTCTTGGCGACCGGTGCGCACCCCGCTCCGCGGCGCCGCCACCAGCAGGTGCGGAACCCACGCCGGGGCTGGCGGTGGCAGCGAAGTGGAAGTCGGAGGACGGGGCGGCGGAGCGCTCGGGCAGCGGGAGCGAGACGCCCGCGACTAGCCAGTGCGCCCAGCCCAGCGCTCCTCGCAGCCCAAAGTCTACGTCGACGCGCCGCCACTCGCCCGCGGAGCGGAGGCCTCGCAGCATGCGAGCGTGCACCGACGAGCGCCGGCGGGTGGACGCGGCGGCGCCCACGGGGCCCTCCTCCTCCGCGTCGGCAGCGGCCGGCGGGCGAGGGTCAAGGGCGGGTAGCAGCACGTCTCCCACGACGTTGGAGCGGCCGCCGGCGCGGCGGCGAGGAGCGGCCGCCAGCGGCGCGGAGGGCGCGAGGAGCGCGGCCGAGGGGTACGGCACGAGCACCTCGTTCGTTCGGTTGGCGACGGCGACGCGGCGCTCGAACCGGCGCAGCGCGCTCACGTAGCGGCCTCGCGGCTCGGCCAGCGCGAGCAGCAGCGGCGTGGCGGCGGTCTCGCCGTTGCCCGAGCCAGAGTCGAGCAGCGCCAGCTGCCGGCCGGCGGTGCCGAAGTAGCCGAGGCTCGCGACGCGGCGCACGAGCCGCTCGCTCCAAAAGAGGCCGAACGGGAAGACGCCCAGGTGCGGGGAGGCGAGCGTGAGGAAGAGCTGCGGCCTCCAACGCTCAAGCAGCCCTCGCGCCTCCGTCGCGGGCTCGAGCAGCTCTCCCAGCGCCCACCGGCCAACGAGCCCTCCGTTGGAGTGCGCCACGACGGAGAGCGAGCCGCTCGGTCCGATGGCGTCGCAGGCCGCCTCGATCTCGCGCGCGACGCGCAGGCCGGCGGCGTCTATGCCGTCCGTCTGGTCGCCGGCCGTCGCCGCCGACAGGACGTGCAGACGCCCGTGGCCGCCCTGGAGGAGGCGGCGGTGGAGAAAAGCCATGTCAGACGGCTCGCCATGCAGGCCGTGGAGGAGTACGACCAGGTGAGGGCGCGATGAGCCAGCGGCAGTCGAGGCGAGGCCGCGGGCGAGTCGAAAGGACGTGGTCGGGGTGAGAACCATTGGCCTTGAGGGTTATTAGCAGCCTGATTATGAAAAGAAAAAAGTGCCCCGCGCTAGGCTCAGACGGCGTGCGCGGGCCGCCGGGGTGAGGACCCACCCTTTGGGCTCGGTCAGCGGGCACCACCCCCCTCCGCGCCTCGCGGTCAGGCGCGTGAGCCGTCACACCGCGCGCGCGGCCTCACATCTGCACGAAGGAGCCTGTGACAAAACGGGCAACCGGAATGAAGCCCGCTAAAAACCGCTCTTTTCTGGCGCGTACCCTCCTGGTTGAAGGCTGGTTGAAGGCGCCTCCTAGCTGAACGCGGACACCCGCTGCGCGCCATCTCGCGCGCTCGCAACCGAGCCACCTGTCGCCCAAGCTCGTTAGGGGCCACCACTACGTGCGCTGCCTCGCGGCGGCGTAGCACCGCCGCTCCGCCATGGTAGCCGCCGCTCCGCTCGGCGCGGCTCAGCTGCTCTTCGCAGCGGCCGCTGTGCCAGCTGGGACTATTGCGCCTGCTGTGCCTGCTGTGCCTGCTGTGCCGAGCCAGCGGCCGGCGGCAGCGGCGACCGCGTTCTTCAGGCGCTGGCCTGCGCCTGAACCGCCGTCGGGCTCTCCTCGGGCACCGCCCGTGCCTCTGCCGCCGCCGCCGCCGCTGCCGCCTGAGCCCTCGCCGCCGCCGCCGCCGCCGCCGCTGCCACCGCCGCGACGGCGCCTGTCCGGCGTGGTGCCCTCGCCGCCTCCTCCCTCGCCAGAGCCATCGCCGCCGCCTCCACCCTCGCCAGAACAGCCCGAGCCATCGCCGCCGCCTCCGCCCTCGCCAGAACAGCCCGAGCCGTCGCCGCCGCCTCCACCCTCGCCAGAACAGCCCGAGCCGTCGCCGCCGCCTCCACCCTCGCCAGAACAGCCCTCACCATCGCCGCCGCCGCCCTCCGCTTCGCCCTCGCCGCCGCCGCCCTCCGCTTCGCCCTCGCCGCCGCCGCCATCCGCCTCGCCCTCGCCGCCGCCACCCTCACCGCTGCCCTCGCCACCACCACCCTCGCCGCCACCTTCGTCGCCGCCGCCTTCCTTGCCGCCGCCACCCTCCCCGCCGCCGCCGTCCCCACCGCCGCCCTCTCCGCCGCCGCTGTCCCCGCCGCCGCCGTCTCCGCCTCCGCCCTCGCCGCCGCCCTCACCTCCACCGCCGTCCCCGCCGCCATCCTCGCCGCCTCCCTCGCCGCCGCCGCCGTCTCCACCTCCGCCCTCGCCTCCGCCCTCACCTCCACCGCCGTCCCCGCCGCCATCCTCGCCGCCACCCTCCCCGCCGCCACCCTCCCCGCCGCCGCCGTCCCCACCGCCGCCGTCTCCGCCGCCTGCACCGCCGCCGCCGAGCCCTCCACCTCCCTCGCCGCCGCTGCCGTCTCCGCCGCCGCCGTCCCCACCGCCGTCCCCGCCGCCGCCGTCTCCGCCGCCGCCGAGCCCTCCACCGCCCTCACCGCCGCCGCCATCTCCGCCTCCGCCCTCGCCGCCGCCGTCCCCGCCACCGCCGTCCCCGCCGCCGTCCCCGCCGCCGCCCTCGCCGCCGCCACCCTCTCCACCGCCGCCGTCCCCCCCACCTCCGTCACCGCCGCCGCCATCTCCGCCGCCCTCGCCGCCGCCGCCCTCTCCGCCTCCTCCCTCTCCGCCGCCGCCGTCCCCCCCACCTCCGTCACCGCCGCCGCCATCTCCGCCGCCCTCGCCGCCGCCGCCCTCTCCGCCTCCTCCCTCTCCGCCGCCTCCTCTCGGCGCCGCCACCTC